TCTTCTAGACTTGCCAATTCCCCCTTAATATCAGTCTTGGCAACCTAATTATCTGTTTCCCCATCCAACCTGTGATTAGGACTGACCATAAGATCTAAATCATCCTCCTTTTTGAGGAGATGTTTAGAACAAATTTTTCCTACACTGCACATGGAATGACAGCGTTTTAACCCTTTTCCTTGATTCTTTTATTCAAGAGCCAGATTTAAAGGGTCTGAGGGGGCTGCCATTCCAGTTGATTCCACGAAGTAAAAAACATATCAGCATACATACCCTCATCCCATTTCTGTTCCCATCTTAAAAACAACATTAACTGTAACAATTTATTATACTTGAAAGTTCCATTTTGTGGCCACTTTTCTCCAGAGTCTAGTTTGTACAATGGCCACTATTAATTGCAATACTTAATCAAATTCTCCTTGGTAGCTGTTCTCCCAGGGGGCTCTTCCAATCTTTCTCCAATGTCGCAAAATGCAACCAAGTGGGAATTTTTTTTCAAAATGATTGTCTGCTACCCATCTCCGAATAGAAGACCCAAAATGTTACAATACAGATACAAATAAAAAACAATTAAAACAATTATTAATCGATCGATAAAACCAAGTCAGACACTGAATTCCAGAATACCAAATAATTCACCAAACATGCTGTAAAATCCACATGCCTTATATGGTCAGGATTCCCCAAAGAATGCCTTAGTACTGAATGTGATCCTACCTGCGTCCCAGACTGGTCTGAAGAGCTGTGGTCTTCTGCAGGAAAATATCGGGGTGCCAGCATGAAGATCCAGAGATCACTTGTATCAGGCAGAGTGTCCTATCTGGGGGCCAGAAAATTATACCGAAATCGGTCAGACAGAAACTTACTAACAGAGTCTTGAGTAGGCATTCTTTATTGCAGTGCTGGGTACTTGGAGGCTCCTTCCTCTAACTGAGTGCACATGTCATGGGTAACCCAAAATGCTAGTGTATTCCATATCTATCTGAGCCCAAAGATTGTTAGTGCATTTTTAAGACCCTGCAGTCAGAAAACAGAAATGGGGGGGGGGGGGTGTGTGAGAACTTTGCCACGGTCCTTTTTTAAATTGGAGTCTGGAAGCAGAGATGTCTCTCTCTCCTGGCAGCATTTTCTGAAGGTGGAGGCTTCGCTTTCGAGGGGGTTGTTTTGTGGGTTTTGGGTTTTTTCTGGGCTTGCAAAAGTAGTCACTCAGAAAAACTGCATTTCACAATCAAAAACTGTTTCGGAGTGAACTTTGCAAAGCAAGCTTCAGTCCCTGGGGCCAGGTCACCCTGCATCGCTGCCAATAGACCAGTTCTTTTCCCTCAACACACCTGCAGTGCAGAGGACAGCAGCACCAACACCAGCAGAGTCCAGTGGGTGGCAGGAGGAAGCAGCAGGAGGCAGTGCTTACTTCACACATGCTGGAAAGTCTTCATCTTCCACTAGAACTGCTCCGCAAGCTCCTACCTTCCTGGGAGAGTTTCCCACCATCCTTCTCCATTGTCTTCCAGACCATGCTTTCACCTGTGAAGGCTGCCATCTTGGGGGAAGGGTCAGATGCCATTTTCACTGTCTTCTTACATGTGGTTGACAATGGCAGGAGCCATTTTGGAAAGGGAATTTCCACCATTTTGGGTGCCTGGGAGTTTGTGAGATTTAGCAATTTTGTATCTAGTGATTATTTATTGGGTTTTTTTGCCTGTTACAGTTTTGCTTGTTTGTAAACTGTTTTTTTTTTTCCACTTATATCTATTTGTATTTTGCTTCTCCTTATTGATGGAAAAGGATTGGTTAAAACAAAGGGAAATAACTAATTTTAGAGTGTTCCCTTTTAAATTGTCTTAAACCAAGACAGCATGTTTTTGCACGAGTACTGTATTTGTCAGTAGTTTGATTAGAACTGCAGTAGATGAGTGCTTTAAAAGCCATGGTGAATTGTGTCTTTAATAAGTAATGATACAAAAAATAAATAAAAATATTAATTTTCTAATAGTGTTCACTTTTACACTTCATCCAGAGTAGTCTGAATTCAGACATTCTCAAGACATTTCATGTAGCCCTATCATTTTGTTATGTATCTTTTGAACTTAATGTCTTCACAAGTCCTCTTCTGGTTGCAAATAAACCAGTGGAAAAGGTAACTGCATCCCACTTCCCTGCTGGAGGTTACAAACTTCTCACACCCCAGTCTGTATCAGTCAAACAAGCTGTCTTAATTTGAGCAATTTTGATAGTGTTTCTTTGCTATTTCAAATAATTTTCACAGCAATAGATCATGGAGACATTGCACAAGAGCAAGAGTTAAGCATGGACTGTGACTTATGGAAAAAGGTGTAGTTAGAAGCAGCTAGAGTGAGGATTTGGCCTGCACAGTTGCAGTTGGAAAAGTTGTTTGATGTATTTATCTTTATATTTAAAGCTGCTGCTTGTGCCAGAGACAATACCAGTGGGATTGTCATTACTGTTCTCTATTATGTGCTCACTGTCAGGATTCTAGGCATCCTCAGGTGTCAGGAGGGAATATGTGGATTGAAACCAATTCAAGCCTGTTGCTGTCCTCAATATTCTTCTGCTAGTTGTTCAGTTCTTATACTCTATATTGAGCTTAGCCATGTATATGCTCCTCCCATGCTGGACTGGCTAACTCAAAGAGATATTCACGCTCTTTTAATGAACTCAGAGAAAATCATTTGCATCATCAATTGATCCACTCAACTCATTGATCCAACTTGATATGAAGAAGCTTTGAATATAATTCACTACAATAATAAAGACTTATAAAATATGATAAACCAAAACTATGATACACCCTTTATCAACAAGTTATCAAAGGTGAGGCCTCAATTTGAGTGCCGTGTGCAGTTCTGGGGCCCACAATTTAAAAAGAATATGAAGGTTTTTGGAGGTGTCCAGAGAAGGACCACCAAGCTGGTGAAAGGGCTGGAAGGCATGTTCTGTGAGGAGCAGCTGAGGACTCTGGGTCTTCTGGTTTGAAAGCAAAACCAGAGAGACTCCAAGTCAGAAATACAATTTATTAGGGAGGAAAAAAAACCCAAACAAAAAAAACCCCCAAAATACATGCAATAATTCAAAATAAAAACCACAGACAGAGTCAGAATACAACCTGACACCCTTTTGGTAAGGGTGTCGGTAGCAGTCCAAATTGGAATGGCTGCAGTCCTCCTGGAGTGGTTCTGTTGGAGCAGTGATCCTATAGAAGGGTGTAGTCTTTCTCTGAAAGTCCAGTCGAAAGACCCAGCTGTTCCTCTGGGAATCCAGTGGAAAGGCCGAGTCTAGTCTCCCAAAAACTCAGATTATATCCAGTTAGGAATTATTGGCTCCTTCCTCTGGGCGGAGCATCTCACAATGGGATGCTGTAACTTTTATCAGTCATACAGTGACATTCAATAGGCCATTAAGAGCAGATGTCTCCCTGGAGGGAGGATTGGTTTGTGGAAGAGCTAAAGAAAACTGCCCAATTAACAGAAGATAACTGCCACACCTCTAACAGATGTCAAATAGAATACATCTTGCCTAGCAATCTAGGACACTGGGTTTGTCTAGTTTGGAGAAAAGGGGGCTGAGGGGTGACCTTATGGCTCTCTGCAGCTTCCTGAGGAGGAGACATGGAGAGGGAGGTGCTGAGCTCTTCTCCCTGGAATCCACTGACAGGATGTGTAGGAATGGTTCAAAGCTGCATCAGGGAAGGTTCAGATAAGGAAACATTTATTTACAGAGAGGGTGGTCAAACGCTGGAAGAGGCTTCCTAGAGAGGTGGCTGATGCTCCAAGCCTTTTAGTGTTTAAGAGGCATTGGGACAATGTCCTTAATAATATGCTTTCAATTTTGGACAGCAGTGAAATGGTCAGGCAGTTGGACTACATGATCATTGTAGTACTCTTCCAACTGAAACTATTCCATGCTTTTCTAAAAAAATAAAATTCTAAATGTTCTGTATTACTGTAACAGATATGACAATATTTGAAAATTGTGTGTGCTGGTAGTGTGCATTTAGGTTATAATAGTATTCCAGTCATCTTTTCCTTTTTATGTAAATATCCACTTTTATTCATTTATACTTTCCATATTCCTGCTCAGCATTTTGAAATAGTCTGTCAACCCAGTAAGTTACTTTAAAAAAATTACACCATTACCCCATTCCTCCTAACGGAAAATGTGCATGCAATTCTAGTAAAATAAAAGTATACTCTTACACAGTTAATTCAAAAGTCATTTTAATGGTATTGAGCATGTCTGTTGATTTGTTTTACTGGCATTTTGGGAAGCTTGTACATGAGTAAAGACAAACAATTAATTTCTGCTATATTCCAAAATATTCAGATGTGGTACAAAGCAGTAGGTGCAGTAAAGCAGAAATACTCTGATGACAATCCTTATGATACACACGCTTAGCCACTGATGATTTTTAAAAAAATAATTATATTATTTTGGATCAGAGGGAACATGAGCTTTAAAGATAAATATAAGGAGATTTTATTGATTTTAGAGTTTTGAATGAAATTTTGTATTGCTGATGCAGAGAAAGCTTTCAGACTGATTGTCAGAAACATTTCATTCCCTCTAAGTTGATAAAATAATCGAAAGTTATATCTACTGTGAGCAACTAAGTATGATGCAGCAGCTCACTCACTCCCCTGCTTTTCCCCTCTCCCAGTGGAATAGGGAGAATCGGGGGGGGGGGGGGAAAGTAAAACCCATGGGTTCAGATAATAACAGTTTAATAATTGAAACAAAGTAACATATAATAATAATATTATTAATAATAATGATAATAGCAATCATTATAATAAAAAGGAGAGAGAGACTGGAGCACTCCTTTTCATTTCCTTTCCTCTTTTATGTCATTATTGCTTTTTTTTTCCTGTTGTAATTCTTCCTATCCCACACCTCATTTCTTTTCCTAAGACTACCTTTCTCTTTTCCTCAGTGGGATTATGGTCTCACTGTCTTGCATTCCTGTTATTTCTTTCCATCTATAGTTACCTTAACGACTTGGACCGCATAGCAGATTTGGCCTATCTGCCAACTCAGCAAGATGTGCTTAGAGTTCGAGTTCCAACAACAGGGATCATTGAATATCCATTTGACTTACAAAGCGTCATTTTCAGGTAGAAAAAAGTTTAACACACTTTTGCTTTGTTTCTTTTGTTTCCTTTTGCATTAGCAATACCATGTATAATATACTGGTTAAACGTACAAATTAGTCAATTTTTAAAAAATTTGAGCTTGGTGTTAATTTTATTTTCATGTGTTTGTCCATATATCATTAACAGCTGCTCTTAAAGGTGTAAAGAGAATGAGAGAGAGATTTGTCCTTTTCTGAAGGTAGTTATTATTGATAGAAAAACTGGAAGTAATTTTTCAATAAAATTAGTACAAATGTTCTATTATGAATAATTATGAAATGGAAAAGTACCACTTCTGTACTTGATTTTTATAGAGAAGTGATATTTTGCAAATTTAATGCCATTCCTACAAATAATTTTCCCCACAGCTCATTCTGAGGGCAAATACAATTGCTAAAGAATAACTATGCAGTTACAAGTACAAGTTAGACACCTGAGTGTCTAGTTACATTGAGATCCATAATAAATTTGGAGTACACTCTGTCAGTAAATTTGAGTTTTTATTTTGGCTATTACCAACTTCATTAAATACAGATTATATTCTATTTATGGTCTTAAAATTAGACAGCCTTGACAAGTTTGGAATTTTGACTGGTAATTTCTTGGGAGAATGGCAGACCACCAACTTAATTCTGTGGCTGTATTTCTGCTGAATATACAGAGCACACATTCTAGAATCATGACTCAAAATCATAAGTGTTTTGAATAACAGAAATTTGAGGACTTTGAGACCCACAATAATTTAAATTCAGAAAGCACATCAAACTAAAAAGCAAATATGATAACTTATTTATTTACAGCACATTCCATTAGTCTTTAATATGAATGGTAACAGTTTTAAGAAGAACCAAATTGTTTTCAACTAAATTCTTGAATTCAGTGTTTCATGTGTTTGTATGCTTATTTGCAAAGGTATTTGTGGAGTTGATGCGATCATTGTTAATTTTGCAGAATGGTGGATGTAGGAGGCCAGCGATCGGAAAGAAGAAAATGGATACATTGCTTTGAAAATGTCACATCTATCATGTTCCTAGTAGCTCTTAGTGAATATGATCAAGTGCTTGTGGAGTCTGACAATGAGGTAAGCAAGCATTAGCATAAATCACCAGCTTTTAAGAAAAAAGTACTTTACCTAAAATTAATTTTAAATTTTATTTGAAAATTGACTAAAACACAATTTTGTAGAGAGTTTTGGTGTGTGTGTTTTTGCATGTTTATTTGGATATTAATTTTTTTTTTACCAGTAAAATTTAATGATAGATTGAATACTTCATGCTAAGCAGCAAAACAGAAGGTTGCTAGTCCTTTTAAGACATTTTCAAAGCAGGCTGGCTTGTCCATTCCTGGTTGTTTTCCAAATATCTGCCAGCAGTTGTATGCAACTGCATGGAATGAAATTAGAAGTTCTACATGGATTAAGATGCAAATCTTCAAATAATATGACACAAACTGATCTCTTCCATGGAAGGTCAGTGGAACCCATCTATTTTGTGTTAAAGGTGGAATAGCTGATGGTAGAGAAATGTTCTTATTGTAGCTATTTGCATGGTTAATGTTGTGTAACAGAGTCATAAAAATACAATGGGAATTAAAACAAAATTAATATATTCTTTGCTAGAACAGACCCTAAAGTAGTAAACTTCATTCCATTGACTTAAAGTATAGGATTTATATTGGCTTATATTTCCTACTTGTGTTTCTACTTCAAAGGATAGCAGAAGTAAAAAACTCATGGGTGGTGATACATGAACTAAGTAGGAAAAGTGCAGGAGTACCCAGTGTTTTGTTTACAATTTTAAAAAGTAGGGGGGAAATTTATATTTGGACTTTTTCTTTCATAAAGACTATTCCCATTATTCATCAAACTTATATGAGTTACTCACCAACACCATTCTATGCAAGTTTTTAGCATTCATTTACAAAATTTAGGTGAAAAAAAGAAAACATTTTAATGTTCTTCATGACTGTATATATATGTTGATTTTATTATTTAAGAGAAGGTTTGACATACTGAGGTAAAACAGATGTCCCAGGGCAGTCATGATTGTATTCTCAACTTTTTCAATATTAATTTTTTCAAGAAAGACTAGGAGTTTTGGAAGCTTTTAAATTTATACTTTTCCCATAAAAGAAAGAAATCTCATTACAGTCTTTGTTATGAACGAGCACAATAGGCTTTCTAATCCAATTAAAAAGATTTATTAATGGTAGGAAACGAAAGCAAATCAGCGCGCTGGGCGGCAGTTATTCCAACTACCGCCCTTTCGTGCCCCATTCCCCCCCAACTTATTGGGTCTTCTCCTCCGGAAGTGTGACGTTCTGGTGTCTTTTCTGCGCAGGTGCACCCTGTTGCTAGGTGGTCGTTTTCTGCCTTTTGGTGGTCGTGGGATGAAGGCCAGTAGTCTTCCTCAGGCTTGTTTCTGTGATCTGGGAATTCTCTCAGAACAAGAAATGTTATCTCTAGGCACGTTTACTCGCATTCCACAGGATTACGGAACTGTCCTTGAAGATATTCGCTTAGGTGCTTTGATGCCTAACAACCAACCTCTACTCCCTAAATTAGTTAAAGCAGTGTATAACGAAGTTGTCCTTGAGAGATATTCTGGAATGCTTGGCAAAATGAGAACATGTTCAGACAAGTGAAAACTCTAAGTAAAGATTCTATTTTATAGATGTGAAAACTCTATATTATGAACAAAAAGGCCTTATTTTCCTAACATTCAGACAAGTGAAAACTCTAAGTAAAGATTCTATTTTATAGATGTGAAAACTCTATATTATGAACAAAAAGGCCTTATTTTCCTAACATTCAGACAAGTGAAAACTCTAAGTGAAGATTCTATTTTATAGATGTGAAAACTCTATATTATGAACAAAAAGGCCTTATTTTCCTAACAATATCCCCCCTTTTTATTTTAAACCTCTTTTTGTTCAATAAAGCGCTCTAATTCCCTTTTGCTTAATTCTAAATAATCTTCAGTTTCTACTTCGCTAAGTGGCTCGTATTTTGGTTTTACCATCATTAAATGTGCAGCTTCTAATCTATTTTTCACTAGTGTAATAAGCTTGTTAAGAATACATGGCCCAAAAGTAAGTACTAGAATTAGTAAAATTACTGGTCCTGCAAGGGTGGATAATAGAGTGGTTAGCCAGGGAGAACAGGTAAGCCAGGATTCATACCAGCTCTGCTGGGATTCTCTTTCTCTTTTTCGTTGTTCTATTTGTTTGCGTAATTCAGCCATCGTGTCTTTTACAATACCCGTGTGATCTACATAAGTGCAGCATTCTTCCTGCAAAGCAACACAAAGCCCACCCTGCTGTAAGAATAACAAATCTAATCCCCTTCGGTTTTGGAGGACTACCTCAGAAAGGGATTTCACTGATTTAACTAGTTCACTTATGGCTTTATCTATTGTACTCAGATCTTCATCTACAGATGTGCGCAGAGCTTTCATACCCTGGCTTTGACTCACTAAGGAGGCAACCCCTGTTCCTACTCCTGCTCCTCCTAAGCTGAGCAAAATTGCTACCGTTAGTGTTGTAAGTGGTTCCCTTTTAGCCAGGTAGTGTTCAGGGGTCATTTGATGTTCTAGTACGTATTCTTTTGGATGGTATACGATTCTGGGGATTATTAGAACTTGAATGCAGAAATCTGAATTATTAAAGGCTTTTACCGATAGGCAGGGTGTAACTCCAAGTTGTTGACATACCCATTTAGTATTGACTGCTGGCATAAGCCAATCAGAAGGCTTGTTTGTTCTGTTAATGCTTACTGTCGTGTTGCAGAGGTGTTGCATATCTGCTGGAACTTTCCCTACACACCTTCCTTGTCCACTAACCTGGGACAGTGTAATGCCTGAAACACTATCTCTTCCCTTTCCCCAGAGACACTCCTTTGGATTTGTACCATTTATTTCTCTTGCCTCAGATGTAATCCCAATAGCTTCATAAAAGGGTGGATTTATCATATAGCAAAGCCAGCACCCCTTGGTTAAGTTAGGATAAGTATGATTCAAAACTCCAAAAGTAGCTTGCATAATTTTCCATAAGGTTGTATACTTCTGCACTAGTATCTGAGGTTCTTGATCAATTTTGTTTGATTTTACAACATTATCTCTGGTTTTATTACTCTCTTTTAAGTCATTGCTTATTACTGGATTTGGGCCTATAGGACTAGGGTCATGTGGAGCTACCTCCTTTTTTATTTGTATCAGATTTCCTGGATCATGTCCTTCTATCCAATGCCTAACCCCCCATGTTTTGCCTATTAACCATCCAGAATCACTTGGTTGAGTGACATTTAGGTAAAGAAAGGTGCAGTTTCCAAGTAAGTTTTTCCCAGTCCAAGGCCACTCTTGTGGTCGTTTACACCCTGCTGGTCCATGCCCTACCTTTAAATATTTGTCTAATCCTCCACCCGGAGCCCACTCTGATGCTATTGTTTCACAACCCCAATAGGCGCAGTAATAATGTCTAGGGTAATTACAGTATTGCTTCCCTGGGTTCGAGGCAGGGCACATATAGAAGCTTGTTAAATTTAACAGCTGCCCACATTTTGAACTTTGAGTTAAATCACAAATCCCAATCTTAAAGCTCGGTGCTCCAGGTCCCGTTATTGTCTGTAAAATATGACGGGTATCGTGATCTTCCCATCTGCTTAAGGTCCATTTAAAGGGTTCATGTATATTAACTGTGGCACTCTGGAGGGGAAGCCATACAAACATAAAAACCCGTAGGATTGAGTGATACACACTGCAGGAGAGGATGTTACTTATCATACTCAGTTTTACATTCCCATTTTCCCTCATTCCGTTGTCACCATTCTTATACCCATGATGATTTATATTCTTTTTCAAGGTTTGGGAGGGCCTCTCAACCCCACTACCTACCTCTCTGTCTCGCCTGTCAACTTGGTTGCTACAAGTTACAGGGTAAGCCATCTTCTCGACAGCAGAGATATTCTTCAGGGGTGGGATCGTTCCCTCTCTCCCACTTTGACCTCCGGGAGTTCCAGTTTTTCGCATTCAACTGTGGGGTGTCGCACCTGAGCCTTTTGACTAATTTGCGACACTTGACTTGGACTATATCCGTGAGGAATGGACCCAGGGGTTCATTGGAATGGTAACAGTGGAATTCAGGGTTTATTCCTTTTACGAAAATCTCCCACCACTCAGGGGATCCTTTAATCAATTCCCGAGTGGCAACCTTGTAATTTAGTACTTCAGAGGTCAATCTGCGCTGCTCCAGCCAGCAGCGTTGACATATACTTTTCGGAGCTCTCCCCTTTCTGCAGTGAGCCCACCACAATCCTTTACAGATTTTGCAGGAAAAACAGGCAAAAGGGTAACAATGACAATCTAACCAGCTACACTTTACTCTAATACTTTGATGTTCAGCATGGCCCTCCCCCTCCCAAGGTTTCTGCTCTTTTTCAAGTCGGATGAACCGATAAAAGGGCTGCTGGGCTGAATCCTCTAGACGTTTACAGTATCCTGGGGGTTTTGTTTCTCCCACCAGTTGTACTTGCAGTCCCCAGTTATCCCCAACCCAAATGTCCTTAGAGTTGATAGTGTTCATGAAAATTATTTGTAAGTCCTTTTTACTGTTAACTTTAAATCCCCCGGCTTCCCGTCAATTTTCCAGCTCGTTTCCCTGGAAGCTGTATGGAATCGAGTTGGATCCACCGGCCCCTTTATTCTGCTAGCATGAGTCCATCCCTTCTCTGCTGTGCGGACTGCGGAGTCAGTGGTGATTAAAACCAGATATGGTCCGTCCCACTTTGGGGTGATTGAATCTTCTTTCCAGCTTCGGATGAGGACCCAGTCGCCGGGTTGTACCTGGTGTAACACAAGATCTAGGGGTGGTCTTTGGGCCCACATCCCCTTTTCCCATAACTGTTTTTTATATTTCATTAAAGTGGTTAAATATTTATTAATACTTTGATCAGTAATGTTAGGATTAGTTTGAACTTTTTCTAGGGAATAGGGCACCCCATACAACATTTCAAATGGGGACAGTCCTATATCAGCTCGTGGCTGAGTTCGAACATTTAATAATGCCAACGGCAGACATTTTATCCAGGATAGTTTAGTTTCTAGTACTAATTTGGTGAGTTGTTTCTTAATTTCTCCATTCATTCTTTCTACCCTCCCCGAACTCTGTGGATGCCAGGGGGTATGTTGTTCCCATTTTATGCCCAGAGCTTCTGCTAGCATCTGTGTTATTTTTGAAGTAAAATGGGGGCCTTTATCAGAGTCTATCGTCTCTGGGACCCCATATCTAGGTATTACTTCTTCCAGCAAGGCTTTTGTTACTGTCCGAGCTGTCTCCCTGGCAGTGGGGATTGCTTCCACATAATGTGTTAAATGATCCACAATAACCAAAAGATATTTCAGTCTCCCTACCTTGGGGAGCTCAGTAAAGTCTACTTGCAGATTTGAAAAGGGCTTCTTTGCCACTGGCCTCCCACCCAGGGTCAGTTTCCTTAGGTTTTTTTTCTGTTTACCCGTAGACAGGTTGGACAACTCCTAGTAATTCCTTTCGCTAAGTCATGTAGGCCCACCGTCATGTAATGGGTGGCAAAGTGATCCACCAGTCCTTGAGCGCCCCAATGTGTTCTCTGGTGTAATTTACTGAGCATCCGCTGAGCTACGGCTTTAGGTAGAACTTCCCTCCCATCCTTTAACAGCCATTTCCCCGATTTCTCTTTTATTCCTAATTTTGTAAGCTTCTCCTGTTCTTCTATTGTAAATATCAGCTTATCCTGGGTAGTTGACTCAGGGTCTTTTGGGGTATCTACAAGGTCTTTCCTAACTCCTTCGCTTAAGGTTAGTGTTTTAATAATTGCAGCTTTCTTTGCTTCATAATCTGCCGCATTGTTACCCCTACTCCGGTAATCCATTCCCCGTTGATGCCCTTTTAAATGGACCACCGCTATCCTTGTAGGGCCTCTCAAAGCCCTCAGGAGGGCTACTATTAGCTTTCGATGTATTAAGTCCCTTCCCTGTGAGTTCTCGAGGCCCCTTTCTTCCCATAATTTCCCAAAAGTGTGTACCACCCCGTACCCATATTTAGAATCTGTATAGATGGTCCCCTCTTTTCCTTCTAATAGTTCCAAGGCTCTTAGGATAGCGTATATCTCGCAGGCCTGGGCTGACCATGTTTTGTCTAGGGCTCCAGATTCGATTACTTCTAGGTCAGGCCCCCCCACTATGGCATATCCTGATCTTCTTTGACCTTCGACTACTCTGGATGATCCATCAACAAACAATTTCTCTCCAGTTTCTAATTCTTCTTCTTCTAGGTCAGGTCTAATTTTAGTTTGTTCTTCTATAGTGATTACACAGTCGTGCATTAGTGATTCAGTTTCGGGCTCTCCGAAAAGGAAGGAGGCTGGATTTTGCAGAGTGGTGGTTTCTAAGGTAAAATTAGGGGTTTCTAATAAAATCCCTTCATATTTCAGGAGCCTGGCATCAGATATCCATTTATCTGCTTTCTGTTGCATCACACTCCGTATGTTATGTGGAGTTAATACTTTTAAAGTAGCATTAAAAGTGATTTTCCGTGATTCTTCTACTAGTGCTGCACACCCTGCAATTATTTGCAGACAGCTAGGCCATCCCCTACTCACGGGGTCTAGGATTTTAGATAGATAGGCAATAGGTTTCTTTTTCCCTGCCCAATCCTGAGTAAGTACCCCGTACGTTACCCCATCTGTGGTATTAACAAATAGAAAGAAGGGTCTATTTAGGTCCGGGAGGCTTAAGACTGGAGCGTGGACTAAGGTCTCCTTTAATTCTTGAAATTTAGATCTTTCTTCTTCTGTCCACTTAAGATGACCATCCTGGGTGAGTTTGTGATATAAAAATCTTGCTTTCCCACTATAGTTTTCAATCCACTGTCTACAATATCCCGTAAGTCCTAATACTTGCCGAATTTGTCGTTTATTTTGTGGTAGAGGGAGAGACAGAATTGCTTGCACCCGGTCTGGGTCAATTCTCTTTTCTCCCTTTTTCAAATAATGTCCCAGGTATTTAACTTCCTCTTCTACAAATTGTAACTTTGCTTTGGAGACTTTTAACCCCTTGGATCCTAAGTAATTTAATAACTTGATACTCTCCTCTCGGACTTTGTCTTCTTCGCTCCCTGCTATTAACAAGTCATCCACATATTGAATTAGTTTCACTTCTGAGGCTGTCTTATAATCTTGTAAAACTTGTTCTAGGGCTTGCCCGAATAAATTGGGGGATTCCGTAAACCCTTGGGGTAACACAGTCCACCGAAGTTGCTGCCGCCTTCCTGTATCAGGGTCTTCCCACTCGAAGGCAAAATAATCTCGACTAGACTCGTCTAGAGGGCAAGCCCAAAAAGCATCTTTCAGATCTATGACGCTATACCACTCGTTCTCAGGTCCTAGTTTGCTTAAAAGAGTATAGGGATTTGCCACCACTGGGAATCGGGCTACGGTTCTCTTATTGATTTCTCTAAGGTCACGCACCAATCGGTAGGATCCATCTGCCTTTTTTACTGGCAGGATCGGGGTATTGAAAGGCGACATACATGGTTCTAGTAGTCCTTTGTTTAACAGCCTTTCAACTTCAGGTTTTAACCCTTTCCTCCCTTCTAGTGAAATTGGATACTGTTTTATTCTTACCGGGACCTCGGGATTCCTGATTTTTACTGTAAATGGGGTTATATTTAATTTGCCCACGGTTCCTGGATTATACCATACTTCAGGGTTTATTTTCTCTTCGTCTTCTAAACGGAGGGGGCAGAGTCTAATCTTTAACTCTTTTTCTACTACTTCAATTTGAATTCCTAATTCAACAATCAAGTCTCTCCCTAACAAATTGTAGTCCGCTTCAGGAACTAATAGGAAATCACCCACCCCCATCTTAGTTCCTGATTCTACCATCACCTCTTTAATAATTTGTACTTCAAATGGTTCTCCCTTAGCTCCTATTACTGTGGCTGTCTGTTTCGATAAATTACAGCCCTGAGGCAGGAATTGAATAGTAGATCTCTCTGCCCCCGTATCGACCAAGAAATTTATTTCTTGGCTCTGGGGACCCACCTTCAATTTTATCAAGGGCTCTTTTTGATGTTTCCCGGTCCCCATAAAATAGAGCCCCTGACTCCCCTATTCGATTTTGAACTCCTCCTCGTCCTTAAGCCTCCTTCTGCACTCCTTTTTGAAATGTCCCTTCTTACCACAATAATAACACACCCTTTCTCCTACCTTTCCCTTGTCACCCTCCCTATTCCGAGTGACTCTCTTCTGTCCTTCCTCCGCTCGCCTGCTTTCCCTTACCGCAGCAACCATCATTTTCACCTGCTTCTTCTGACTTTCATCCTCTCTTCGGACATAAACCTTCTGTGCTTCTCGCAATAATTCCTCTAAACCCCTGTCCTGCCAATCATCCATTTTCTGTATCTTTTTCCTAATATCATCCCAGGACTTAGAGACAAACTGGACTTTAAGAATTGCCTGTCCCATTGGGTCATTCGGGTTTAACCCCGAGTACAGCTGAAAACTTTTCCTTAACCTCTCCAACCATTCAGTGGGGGTTTCATCCTTCTTTTGTCTGTCATTAAATGCTTTATTTATGTTCTGGCCCCTAGGAACGGACTCTTTTATGCCATCAATTAATATGGTCCGAAAGTCCCGCATGTTAGCTCTATGGACCGGATCCTGGTTATTCCAATTGGGATTCTCGAGAGGCCATTTGGTATTGGCCCGCTGCTGGGCATGTGCAGGTTGAGCATCCCAGACCCGCATACCAGCAGTTCTTATCATGTTCTTTTCCTCAACCGTGAATAAAATGTTAAGTATAGATTGTAATTCCTCCCAAGTGTATATATTAGGACCTAAAAATTGATCCACCCGCTCTGCCACGCCCAGGGGGTCTTCTAACAAATTTCCCATCTCCTTCTTAAAGTCTCTAACATCCCCTGAACTCAAGGGCACCGAAATGAATCCAATCCCCGGCTGTGGTCCGCCCATGGGCATTTCCCTTAAAGGGAATAGTTTGCCTCGCGTCTTACTTCGGGTAAGAGGACCACGCGAGCCTGAGGGTTGATCAGAGTCTGAGTCTGATTCTTCCTCATCCGATTGTGGAGGAGGAGGGGGTGCATTCGGCGCAGGGGGAATGTAAGGCGGGGGTGCAATAATTACTTCTTCCGCTCGCCCCTTCTTTTTCTTTCCCCCTGAAACCTCCGAGAGTTTAAACACGAGCACCTCCGGTTTTTCTGTCCAGACTCGGGCATAGGCACTCTCCTCAGGGTTAGGAGGTTGTTTAGTGTTTATCCAACCATTTAACAGTTGCTTTACCCAGTCTTCTGAGGACCCAAAGATGGGCCAAAAAACACCTTTAGAAATCTCTTGTCCTCCCCATACTTCTATGCAATAGTGTATCATCTTTGCTTTATCCTTCCCAGGTGCTCCTGGAAGGTGCTCCCAATTCGTCAGCATAAACCCTAAGGGACTATCCTTAGGAATTGGGGGAAGTTTTACCCCCACCGGGGAGGGGGATTTACTCCTACTCTTCCCCTGCCCCATGTCCTCCGGAGTACCTTCAATCACTCACGACAGCACAATCGCTTCCCCTGGTTCGTGGCCCAGGCCCTCGCGAGCTCTGGAAAACGCACTACTAAGGGTCCACACTTGCTTGGAGAATCCGGCTGCCGGTTCTCCTCTCATTCACACACACACTCGCCGTACTCCGGGATCCCGAACCCCGCCCGGACGGATCCCTCTATACTTACGCGTCCTGCGTCTTCGTCCGGACTTTGTGCACAAAATTTAAGGGGTACCCTGGGCCCGCTTCCCTTTCCTTTTTTTTTTTTTTGCTTTCGCTTTCTAGGCTTTTAGGTTCGTCGGTCGGGATGAGGGTAGAAACCCCGGTCTGAGTCCGCTCAAAGGAGCGGAATCGTGGCGCCCCTCTCAGAGAGAGGTTCCCCAGATCCGCGATCCGAGTCACGGCACCAAATTGTTATGAACGAGCACAATAGGCTTTCTAATCCAATTAAAAAGATTTATTAATGGTAGGAAACGAAAGCAAATCAGCGCGCTGGGCGGCAGTTATTCCAACTACCGCCCTTTCGTGCCCCATTCCCCCCCAACTTATTGGGTCTTCTCCTCCGGAAGTGTGACGTTCTGGTGTCTTTTCTGCGCAGGTGCACCCTGTTGCTAGGTGGTCGTTTTCTGCCTTTTGGTGGTCGTGGGATGAAGGCCAGTAGTCTTCCTCAGGCTTGTTTCTGTGATCTGGGAATTCTCTCAAAACAAGAAATGTTATCTCTAGGCACGTTTACTCGCATTCCACAGGATTACGGAACTGTCCTTGAAGATATTCGCTTAGGTGCTTTGATGCCTAACAACCAACCTCTACTCCCTAAATTAGTTAAAGCAGTGTATAACGAAGTTGTCCTTGAGAGATATTCTGGAATGCTTGGCAAAATGAGAACATGTTCAGACAAGTGAAAACTCTAAGTAAAGATTCTATTTTATAGATGTGAAAACTCTATATTATGAACAAAAAGGCCTTATTTTCCTAACATTCAGACAAGTGAAAACTCTAAGTAAAGATTCTATTTTATAGATGTGAAAACTCTATATTATGAACAAAAAGGCCTTATTTTCCTAACAGTCTTTATATAATCAGACATCTCCTTAAAAAGTACAGCTGTTACAAAGAAAAAAATTTCAGTTGCTTATACAGTGATTATATCTTCTCATTTATTTTTGTATTTTTGTTTTAACTTGGAAGGTATCCAAATGCTTTTATTTTGTTTTGTAAGACACATATTTAATGTTGTGGTCCAAACAGTAATGTGCCTTAGCGCTCTCTCTTGTCCCCCTTTTCGTCCCAGCTAGCTCTGTGAGGGGGGGGAGCGCTGGCAACTTCCGTGTTTTCCGGCGAACCCTCGCGGGTAACTGACGGTGCTGCGTGGGTTTGGGAGCTAGGCGAGTCCCGAGGCGAGTAAAAGGAGAGAGACTTTTTCCCCCGCGGGCGAAATCTCGGTTTATTATGGCTTGGTTGGGAAGGAAAAAACCGAGAAGCTGCTGCGTGCTGAGTTCGAGTTTGTCCGTGCCGCCTGGCCGATTCAGGGGCGGGGCGGCGCGCTCCAGCGCTGGCCGCGATCCAAGAGACGCTGTGTGCAGAGCCGCGGCGCTGCTGCCGGCACGTGCAGGAGCCGCGGTGGCCGCGGCAGCGGCAACAGCAGCGGTTCGGCTGAGGCAGCGATCGCGGGGCAGTCGGGGGCGGCCGCGATCGCCTGGGGCAGCGGCGGCGGTTGCGGCAGGGGCCGGGCGAGAGAGAGAGCTGCGGCGGCACGCAGGGATCCGGCGGGGGAAGAGGCGGCGGGCCGGGCAGCAGCGGCAGTCGGGGCCAGGCGGGAGAAAAAGCACCGGGGCGTCCCCAACCGGCTCTATAAGTACGGGATAGGGGAAACCCGGGGCGGCCAATGAGATAACGCCACGGGGGGACTTGGGGATAGTGGGGTGCAGGGGTCCAATGGGAGATGGACAGATGGAAGGGTGCCCGGTCGTCTCTCAACCCCGCCGCATGGCTGACAGATGGTCTGAGAGACGTAAACAAAGTGACTAAGCACTTCCTCGGGAAGGCAGACCGCGGGGGGAAATGGGAGAACCCGGGAGGTCACTTACAGAGTGCGGGGGGATACATGGAATGACCTTATACATAATAGAACATATAATAACACAATTCCACAACTCCCTCTTCTGTTTTTCAAAAGAAAAGAACGGAAAATAACTTAAATGGGAGGTTTTACAGTCCTTTTCCCCATCGTTGAACCCAATGTCTGCTGAGTTCTTCCCTGGCTGTCTGTGTTGAGCAGATGTCAGCTCTGATGGGGCGGTGAAGACTGCGTGGTCGATGTGCACGGTGGAATTGATGACCTTTAAACCTTTAAACATTACTAAAACTCATAATAAGAACAATGAATGTTAACAGCAACATAATTCAGCATTCTGGGGAGGGGAGGTTTAAATCAAAAGGGAAAGGTGAGTCCCAGGGAACTGTATGGTGTAAGGGAAGGCTCTGAAAGAGAAGGTGCTGAGTCAAAAAGGATGGGGGGAGACTTTCTCCGTCTGCGGAGGGCTGCATGCTTCACCTGAGGATCCTTTTTCTTATCAGTCTGGTGTTTGGGGACATATGGCCGGACAAATTTGGACGGGACCCATCTCAGGCCTGAGGGCGTGGACACGCAAGCGTATCCCCGTCCCCAGGTAACTAACTCATAGGGCCCTTCCAGCTGCCAAGTCTCTGGATTTTTGACGATAACTGGTGGTTTTTCCCTAACCTTGCTCAGCTCGTGGTTGTTAAAGTGCCTGGTGACTGGTGGGTTGAGATTTTCAAAAGAACAATTTAGGAAATTCAGTGTAAAGAGGGCACGCGCGAGCCGAACCTGGGGGGACTCCACCTTCATAGTTGGTGTTTGCTGTTTCAGCATGCGTTTGAGACTCTGATGAGTCCGTTCCACCACTGCTTGACCTGTCGGGGAATATGCGATGCCAGTTTTGTGCTCTATTCCCCATTGCTGCAGGAAGCTGGCAAATCCCTTGGATGTGTACCCGGGGGCATTGTCTGTTTTTATCAATTTAGGGACGCCCAGCATAGCGAAGGCCTGTATCAGATGCTTTTCAATGTCTTTGGCCTTCTCCCCTGCGTGGGCAGAAGCAAAGACTGCCCCAGAGAAGGTGTCCACGGAGACATGGACGTACTTCATCCTCCCAAAGGAATGGATGTGAGTAACGTCCATCTGCCATACCTCGCAGGACCTCAGACCCCTAGGGTTTGCCCCTGAGCTCACCGATGGTAGGGGGAGCGACTTACAGGACGGGCAGGTGGCCACAATGGCTCTGGCTTGGTCACGAGTGAGGTGGAACTGCCGGACCAGCCCGGGCGCATTCTGGTGGTAAAACTGGTGGCTGATCTTAGCCTGCTGGAACTTATCTGGGAGCGGAGCTACCTGAGCCGGGGCGGCAGCGAGAGAATCGGCACGCCGATTGCCCTCGGCCAAAAACCCTGGCAAGTTGGTATGTGTTGTCTTTATGAAAGACAACCAGGAGCCTGGTTCAGATAAGGCAGCACGGCGGCCTGGTCTCGTCCAAGCCGCTCGGGCTAATCAACACACGCATACACCAATATGGCAGACGGTTGAAAAGCGTTTATTATCCTATTTCGTGGGTTTATATAGGTTTAGGAGTCTTTGCTACGTCAGAGGGGGGTTTGGGGTCTCGGAGGATAGTGGGTAGTGGAATTTTACCAGGACAGGTGTGGCTACATTCTTTTCTGACTCCTGGGGTAGCAGATAAGCAGGGGAGAGAGAGGGGGGGAAGGGGTCTACCTTTCCGTGACATTCCGGTAATCTTCCGCTTCGCCTGTCCCTATCTTACCACATCTCCCCCCTCCTTATCACATACAAAATGAGGTAGTTGTAGATAGAGGCATTGGAGTGAGATACAGACTTGTAACTTGTTAAGGAAAGGGTGGTTTAGTAGATCAGGGTAGATTTTTTAAGGCAGGTGCTGAAGGCTTTAGCTACTGACTGCGTTTGCAGTTTTTTTTTGGTTTATAGCATTTGTTGGTGGCCTACGAACAGAATGTTTGCCCTTTCCAGACGGGCTTGAACAAACGAGACTAGTTTGTTCAGCAGGCATGGTCCTATGGTAATAGCCAAAAGCAGTATTGCCAGTGGACCTACCAGGGCGGAAATTAAAGTGGTGAGCCAAGGTGATTGATTGAACCAGGATTCAAACCAGCTCTGCTGGGTCTCCCTGTCTCTCTTTCTCTGAGCCAGTCTGTCTCGGAGTTCTGCCATGGAGTCTTTAACGACTCCTGTATGATCTGCATAATAGCAGCATTCCTCCTTCAAATCTGCACACAATCCTCCCTGCTGCATAAACAAAAGGTCAAGTCCCCGCCTATTTTGTAAAACTACTTCTGAAAGTGAAGAGACTGACTTCTCCAGATAGGAGATGGATTTCTCGATCCTCTGCAGGTCCTCGTCGATGGTCATTTGCAGCTGGGAGAGTCCGTGCTGCTGGGTTGCGATGGCTGAGACGCCCGTGGCGGTGCCAGCTGCTCCCAGGCCGAGCAGCATTGCGATAGTTATACCTGTGATGATTTCCCTTTTGTGGAGTCTGTTAGGTTCTTCGAGAAGATGGTATATTTCCTCGTCTGAGTGGTACAAGACCCTGGGGACAATCAGAACTTGGACACAGAAATCAGTAGAATCATTGAATTTGTCAAGGAACACACAAGGACTCACTCCGGACCTTTGGCAAACCCACATCCCAGACGCAGATGGGATCACCCACTTGCTAGTTTTTCTGTTCGGTTTGACAACTTTAGTGCAGAAGTTGCCTTTCTGCTTCGCTAAGGTTGCACTCCCAAAACATCTGCCCTGTCCTGTGATTTGACTCAGGGTGATTCCTCTGCGGGAAGTGTCCCACCTGCACTGGTGAGGGGCGCTGGCCGAGGAGTAACTGAAGGGGGTGTCCAAAGCAATGCCTTCATAAAAAGGGGGTTTGATATCATAGCAAAGCCAACAGGGGTTAGTTAGGTTCGGTTTGGTTTCGTTTAGGGTTAAAAAGGTAGCTTCTAGCATACGAAAGATTGGGTTTGGGTCTGACTCAGCCATGCGGCCTATCTGGGGGGTATCTGCAAGGCCGGTCGGGGTGTCAGTGGCTTTTGGGGTCAGGGTTTTGAGGTGGGTTGTGTTTTTCCCTCCCAGCACATTCCTGATAATTTTGTTGGGTCCCACTGGTCGAGGCGTTGGCGGCTGGAGCCTGATAATTCTCACATTCACCCACCTCCTTGGTCCTTTGAGGACCACTGTCCATGTTCTACCCGTGGCCCAGCTAGGGTGATCTGGCTGTAGGACAGTCATGTTATAACTTACGCATGCCCGTTGTCTAGGCTGTGCAGTGTGGTCTCCGCAGCCAAAGGGTGCCCAGGTGAACTGTAAGAATTTGTCGGGCTCCTGTGGTTGCCACCCGTCTGCCCATGGTCTGGCATCTGTAACAATGGTTTCGCAACCCCAATACCCACAATGTCCCCATCCCGGGTAGTCACAGTACCTTTTCCCTGGGTTGGACGCTGGGCACCAATAGGATATGTACATGAGTACGATACGTGGGTTTATGGGCCGTGTTTTCGGTTGCCCTGGAAACAGATCGGCTATGTGGAATACGAAGGATGGAGCGTTTGCGGTGGTGACCTCTTTGAACACCTTGTCGCTTGAGAGATGTTGCATGACCCATCTGAACGGCTGGTGAGGGTAGTGGCCTGGGTCGGCTTGCCCCCCGGCCACAAACCCCATCAGCAGGATTGCACAGAGACACTGCACATATCTGGGTCTCACCGCCGTGGGACGCTCAGGCTCTGTCTGGTGGCTTGGTGGTCCGTTGTCTCCCTCTGGAGCAGGTGTGTGTGTGTCGCGGGGACGGTCCACGAGCGTGTCCTGCGAACGAAAACTCACAGTTTTCCATTAGTTTCATTCTTAAGGTCAGGTTTGATCGACCTGAGTGGACACCACCTGATCTTGCCCTCC